TTGGCCAAGTGTAGAAAATTGAAGTAGCACAGACAACTAAGTTATTTGCAAGTGAGGTGGTATGCTGTAATGAGAGAAGAGTGCACTAGGATTTAGGAATCTGAGGTCCCATCTAGCATCCACCACTAACAAATTTATGTGACTTTAGGTGACTTACTTGCTCATTATGGGCCTTCATTATTTGTCATTTGTTATAAACACTAGATTAGATGATATTTGTTTTTACTAACATAATACTAAACAGATTTTTGTGTCTACCTATCATTTATTCATTTTGTTTGTTGAATTGTGAATAAATAGAAGAGCTTGACATCTAATAGTGAAAATCAGGTACACAAATAACTTTTACTTTTGTGAAGACTGGGTTGAAATGCCTTATGTTTTTTTTTCAAATATATTTCTTTATTGAATTCAGAGAGGAAGGGAGAAAGGGAGAGAGATAGAAACATCAATGATGAGAGAGGATCATTGATTGGCTGCCTTCTGCATGCCCCCTACTGGGGATCGAGCTTGCAACCCAGGCATGTGCCCTTGGCTGGAATCGAACCTAGGACCCATCAGTCCGCAGGCTAATGCTCTATCCACTGAGCCAAGCTGGCTAGGGTGAAATGCCTTATGTTATATGTGCTTACCAAAATGTCTTTAGAAGCATCAGTTTCCTTAATTGTCAGGTGAAAGAGTTAATTAAATGAAATGACTTCTATCCTTCACAGGTCTAACTTTGTGATTCTTCTGTAAAGATTTCATTATGGTCCTCCATCAAAATATTGGTCCAGGCCTAATTTCAGGAGGACTGGGCGAATTGAGAAGATTGCTAGTGTAGTACTCCACCACTGTCTCAGACACTCTGCTTCCTTTGATTCTTCTTTCTGTTACATCTCTCCTTTGTTTTTGTTTCTATTTTCATAACTCCCACCCCTCCTTCTTCCATTGTGTCTTAGTTTTCATATATATAGAAGTTACCGGCCCCTATTCCAAATGTTAAAGCTAAAGAGACCAGCTGGTGTGGTTTAATGGTTGAGTGTGGACCTATGAGCCAGGAGATCATCTTTCAATCCCAGTCATGGCACATGCTTGGGTTGTGGGCTCAATTCCCAGTGGGGGCTGTATATAAGGCAGCGGATCAATGATTCTCTGTCATCATTGATGTTTCTATCTCTCCCTCTTCCTTTCTCTCTGAAATAAATAAAAAAATATTTTTTTAAAAAAGCTAAAGAAAGTACAAGGTGAAATCAGTATCAAATAGTGTTTCTTCTCATGAAAATTTTCACTGAAATTTAATGGAATTGTTCTTTTTGTCCCTCTTCGTCTCTTTGGAGCACAGTGAACAATTCCAATTTTCTGAGAGAAGCAGTGATTAAAAAGGATGTGGGAAGGAAAAGATGATAGAAGTGTTCATATAATAGTATTCACATCTGGACTATAGCCTGGAAGGCAAAGGAAAGAATAGCCATGAAGATGCCAGAGTAACTTCAATGAAATCAAACCCCCACCCAGATTCATAATAAAAGCTAGCCTTAGCTTGACCTAAAGGGAAACAAGTCTCCCCTTTTCCTTTTCCCACATATGAATAGTGGTGTAACAATTTGGGGAGAGGAGGAATACAGAAAAGGAAAATTTCAGGAGAGTTGTAATTTATGAAAACAAGCTACGGTTACTATTGTTCTTATTTTCATTAAAATCGCTTTGAAAGCAGTAAGATGGTGAGAGAATACTGTGGAAGTCAATGTAGTCTTCAGTGCAGATGGTGTAAACCTCTGTGTCCCCAATTTTATAATTTTGGAGCCTTTCTTAAATAGAACAGATAAGCTAGATCAGTATCTGCTTGTGTTTGATGGAGTGTGAAAGACAGAAAAAGGAAATTCATTATGCCTACAACAAAAGGGCTGGACCAGCTCCATGAACTTAAAAATAGTAAGGAGCCTTCAAAGGTTTGCCTGCTTTGACTGTGCCATAGGAACAATGCATGCAAGGTCTGTGTTTTCTTCAGGCGACTTTAAATTCTATAAGTTGGCAGTTACAGAGTGACCAACAGGGTAAAATGAAGAAAAAGAAAACTTGGCATGAAAACGTTACAGACAATACATTTAATGTTCTATAAGAACAATTGTCATTTGTTGTCAAAAATCTTGTTATATCCAGTTTTTTCTGGAAGGCTAATTGGCATTTTGTTGCCTAGTATGGAATACTAGGAATCTCCCACTTATTCCTGATATGCCAATTACTTTCTCTATATGAAAGCATTCTTTAAAGACTTTACTTACTTTTTAAAATTCCCCTTGTATTATGTTAACATACAAATATATTTCAGATATATGTGTTTGAATTTTTTAATATTTATTTTATTTTTTGGATGGCAAAAAATGAAAGGAAGACTGATTTAAATGTTCATAATGCCACCATGAATAGGGGTGTAAAGTTGAGTACCCTAAGAGCACCCAGTGGGTCAGAGTATTAGCAGCAGAATCTGACTTTGTCCCTCTGCCTCCAGAGTCCATGTCAGACGCACAGACAAGGTGGGAACAGAAGCTGCCTTCCATCCCATTGAGGAGTACATGGTGCACGTTGAAGAACATTTTCAGCTTCTCGCTCGCAGGATGCAAGTGGATAAAAAAAGAGTGTATTTGGCCACAGATGACCCTTCTTTATTAAAGGAGGCAAAAACAAAGTAAGTTAGATGAAGTGGTGATTCTAGAGTGGGGCTCTTTTCAGTTGAAAGGAATCCTTAATTCCCATGACTTGTGATTCTTGTGATACTATTACTGACTATTGGGGTTTTTAAATTCAACACTGCACTTGTGTAACTTGTTAATATCATCAAAACAATTGTGAGGTGCCAGCAAAGTTACATTTCATTCTGAAGCCTCTTTTCTTAGCTTGTAGGCAGCGTCATCTCTCTGTGAACTCATATGACTTCTTTGTGTGCTTAGAAGAAGCATCAAACTTCCTGGTGTCTCTTCTTATAAAGGCACTAATTCCATTATGAGGATTCCACCCTAATGCCCTTATTTAACCCTAATTACCTCTCAAAGACCCTACCTCCAGATGCCGTCACACTGGAGGGTTATGGCTTAAACACGAATTCTGGTGGGAACACAAATATTCAGCCCATCACACTAACCAACCTTTACCAATAAAACACACAGGTACTTGCCTTTTTGCTCTCATATTTTCACTAACAATTACAGGCAACTGAAAACATAAGTAAGATATAAGTTTTCATCTTATAAAAATGTCTGGAATTTAGAAATTATATTAAAGAAACATAAAGAATCAAAAGGTAAGTTTTGTAAGTTCAGGAGAAGGACGATTAATATGTTTTGAAGAGTAACCATCATTTATTGAACTTGTCTATATTTTAGGCACTGTGCTAGGTGCTGGGCATCCATGATAAGCAAGGCACTCTCAAGGAATTTCCAGTCTAGGTGGGGAACAGACAATTGCTCTACAGAATGAGTAGTGCTATTACAGAATTAACCTTGGGTGTTATGAAAACACATAAAGCACTGATCCTAATTTGGAATTTATTGTAGGATCTGGATGAACCTAGAGTTGGCCTTTATTTACTACCAATAAATATGGGATGCATTAAATATATGTGAAAGTAGGAAATGGGGAGAAGAAAACTGTAGTCTTCGCTCTGCTCAGATACCAAACATTCTGGGATGATTCTGAATTATGTTTACTTCAGTTCCATCAGTCTGAAAGCATTTTATTAATTATTGAAGTTATTTGACTATTTAATTAATTTATTTCTCAGTCCCTTTTTTATGTCACAAATTGGGGTTGGGAAGAAAAACAAATTTAAAATGAGGACTATAATGCAGGTGTTTCTCCAAATCATTAGATAATAATTTAAATCTTATTTCTACCTCCTAAGAATTCAGATTAACCTGATGTAAATTGCTTTTTTTTCTTAAGTCTCTATTGACTACACACACACACACACACACACACACACACACACACACTTATAAACAAGAATCAAGAAATTCACCAGCCAAGTATAAGCTAAGCCAAGTTATATAATTATAATTCTTACATAAGAATTAGAGATTAAATGAATGTTTGGGCACAAAACACAATAGAAAGTTTTCACGAGTACTTTTCCAATTTTATATCTAAACCTGTTAGAGAGAAGTAGAAATTGTTTACCATGCTCCTTCATTTTAAAATACCACACTGAATTTATACCTTAGTTGAAAAAATATTAAAATATTAATTTTATCTACTCTTTTATTTGTTCTCAAATACATTAAAAGCTTTTTTTCTTTTTTCCTTGATTAACAAAATAATTCATGCTCATTAGAAAATATGGAAGTTGGTAATTATACAAGCAAGGAAAAAATAATGCCCACAATCCCATTACTCAGTGGTAGTAACTGCTTCAATTTTGACATATTCCCTTCAGTCATGTTCATAGTTACACTATTTAGTTTATCACATTCTATATAATTTGAAATCTTTTTTGATTAATACAGCAATAGATGAATTATCTCAGGTCACTAAAAAAATCATTATAAATATCTTTTTTAATAACTACATAGTGACTCTATGGATAGTCCATTGCTTACTTGACCATTCCCCTAATATTGGATAATTAGGTTATCCACATTTTTTTAATCTTATAAATAATGTTAGGAAATGTGCCTAAAATTATCCCCATTATTTCCTTAAGCTATATTTCTGGACTCAGAAGTATTTAGATAAAAGTATCTGCGAATCTTACAGCTTTGATCCATAACACCACATTATATTTTTACACCAAACAATGCTTGTACTGTATTACAGTTGGCAGTACTTAGATTATGGCAGTAGTAAAACTTGAATTTACTTTTTTTGGTCAGCAGCTAGTAACTCCTTTTCCCCTTACAGTCCAGGCAGCGATTCCTTCATATTCTATTACTAGAGGCCCAGTGCACGGAAATTCGTGCACTTGGGGGATCCCTCAGCACAGCCTGCATCCTCACGCAGTCCAGGACCCCTTGAGGGATGTCCTTCTGCCGGCTTAGGCCCACTCTCGGGAGATCGGGCCTAAGCTGGCAGTCAGACATCCCTCTGGCAACCCAGAAGCCCTTGGGGGATGTCTGACTAACTGCTTAGGCCCCCATGAGGAGCGGGCCTAAGCAGTTAGTTGGACATCCTTAGCACTGCCACAGAGGCCGGAGAGGCTCCTGCCACTGCTGCTGTGCTGGCCAGCCATGAGCCGGCTTCTGGCTGAGTGGCGCTCCCCCTGTGGAAACACACTGACCACCAAGGGGCAGCTCCTGCATTGAGCGTCTGCCCCCTGGTGGTCAGTGCACATCATAGCGACTGGTCATTCCTGGTCATTCTACCTTTAGGATCAATTTGCATATTACCCTTTTATTATATAGGCTAGGATAAACGTAGTAGCCTTTTATGCATATTTTTCTCTCCAAAAATCGTTTCATTTTCTGAGTCATGGTCGTTACTGGTCATTCTACCTTTAGGATCAATTTGCATATTACCCTTTTATTATATAGGATAGGATAAACGTAGTAGCCTTTTATGCATATTTTTCTCTCCAAAAATCATTTCATTTTCTGAGTCATGAAGAGGAGTATCTCCTTCTGTCTGGAGAAAGAGTTCAGAAAAGAAAATTTGATGTGTTTCATTTTCTGAGTCATGAAGAAGAGTATCTCCTGTCTGGAGAAAGAGTTCAGAAAAGAAAATTTGATGTTAGTTAGCCCTTTCTTGGTGATGTAAAAATAAATTTTTATGAGGTAGAAGAAGAAAAAAATATTTTTCCTTGGCAACCTCTGCAACTTCACAATGGAAGAATTGCTCTGCTGACATGCTTGTGAACAAGAGACAAAAAAGAAACATGTTTGTACAGAAAGTTCCATGCTCATTCATTATTGGAGATGCAAACTCTCCCTCCCATTTTTCGCTGTGTTCCTTTGTTTTGTTTTGTTTTTTCCACTCTCAGTATCCTTCATCAAGTGGATTACATATAGAGATAAAGCCTGAGGAACTTAGGCACCCTTTTGGTTTGGTTCCAGGTAGAGACCTTTAAGTTAAGAAGGGCATTAATGTTAGTGTCCCTTCTCAGTGAAAGGATCACTCTTTTGTTTCACTGAGCACCCAAACCATGCTGACAAAATCGGTCTTTATTCAAGGATAAAACCTTGCTGATGTACTTTAGCAATTCATCCTCTCCTCCACCCTTCAGCCTTTTTATGTTTATTTATCACTGTTTCTGCCCCATGCTGGGGTATGCAGCTTTGCAGGAATAACATTAAAAGTTTTTTTGGTTGTTTTCTTTTTAGAATAAATGTGACAGTTCCTTCATCTCCCTGATTTGGAACTGAGGAGAGCAAAATGTCAAAAATAATGAGGCCAAATGTATCCAAACACTGAACACCAGTCTGAAACAGTGTTCAGAGACTTTACCTTTACAGTCGTTGTTAGAGGCAATGAGAGAAAGCTCCGTGGTGGCTGTGAAATCCAAAGCAGCTGTTAGGGGATTAGGAAAAAGTCCCAGGCATAGATAGCGCTCCCTTGTTCATGTATTTATTCACAGTGTTGTGTGGAATGCTACGTGCTGTGATGCAAAGAAAAATTAGGCTTAGTCCCAATTGGGGGGAATACTGTGTGGAGACAGACAATAAAGTGACTCATAATGTTTCAGGATTTATAAATAAGAATTATTATTTTTCAACAAATAGTGATCCTCTGTTATATCCCAGATTGTCTTATAGGTGCTGAGAATAATAGAGTGAATGAAATATATCAAATGCCTCTGTTCAGTTAGGGATGATGGAGGTGGGGAATGAATGGATGCAGGCAGTAAATAAACAGTAAATACATGTTATGTGCAATGATAATAAGAGCCATGGAGAAAAATTAAGTAGGTAAAAGGGATACTGATTGCCAAAGTTCATACTAATAAGGCTATATTTGAGCAGAGATCTAAAGGAAGTAAGGAATAAAACCAGATGGATGTCTGGGGAAAATGTTTAATAGTCACAAGCAATATGTATTGAGCATTCGCTACATGTCAGATACTCTTCTAAATAGTTTATATTGCTTAGTGTATTTACTCAATGCTTATGAAATATATGAAGTAGGTATAATTATTATATCCTTTTCATGTAACTTCCCAAAGTTTACATTTTAACTCTGAAGATCTACTTCAGGCACTGAGAAAATGTATTCACTCTATATTAGAGTATAATTACACCTCTAATTCAGAATAGAATCATTTGAACATGTGGTAGACTTTTTAAAGACATCCTATTTTAATAGTTTTAAATATCCTATCTCAAGACTACTAAAATATTATTTGGGTGGACATCTACAAGAAATTTGCCTTCATAAATGTATTAGAATGGTTTACATTACTGTTATTGGTTAAGATGGTTCTTCAAGGATGGTGGTTAGAGGATAAGTCTGAATTATCCCAAATTCTGAATTAAAATTTTTAATGAAATTTAATCATGATATTTGTATTCTAAAGGAAAAGTTCAGTGACCAAATATGAAAGCAGCTTGCAAAACTTCTTAGAGCTCACTCATTACAAAGAAAATAGGAGTCTTCTGTTTTCAACTCTTTCACGAATTGAGAAGGGACATTTTGATACATCAGTGTGTATTTTATATGGCATGCCAATGACATTTAACATGCAGGGTACTCCAGAGTGGTTTCTGTCCCACTAGTGGATTCAAAGAAACTTCATTGACTATTCTTTTGAATATTATCATTTTAAAGCTCTCTTTACTGTTAGAGAGGAACTCTTGGTCAAAGGAGCAGGTCTGCCTCCTGCTGATAGGATACTACCTCCTAATAGAATATTGTGATTTCAGTGACTATGTATCAATTTATTTCTTTTTCAGGTACCCCAGTTATGAATTTATTAGTGATAACTCTATCTCTTGGTCAGCTGGACTACACAATCGATACACGGAAAATTCACTTAGGGGTGTGATTCTGGATATACACTTTCTCTCCCAGGCAGACTTCCTAGTGTGTACTTTTTCATCCCAGGTAAGTGATAGTAGGGTATTTTTAAGAGGCCAGTACTTTTTGGTCATATTAGGGTTAGGAACTTCTTGTTTTCTTGTTTGTTTATTAATCCTCAACTGAGGACATTTTTCCATTGATTTTCAAAGAGAGTGGGAGGGAGGGGAGAGACAGAGAGAGAAACATGGATGTGAGGGAGACATATCGATTGGTTGCCTCCCATACATGCTCCAACCAGGGCCAGGGATCGAGCCTGCAACTGAGGTACATGCCCTTGACCGGAATCGAACCTGGGACCCTTCAGTCCGCAGGCTGATACTCTATCCACTTAATGAAACTGGCTAGGGCTTTTTTAAATGTTAGTTATCATGATTCTGGTGAAATTTTCCTAATATTTGCGAATTACCATTTTTGTGAAAGCATGAGAAGATTCCCCCAAAACATAGCTATTTAGGTGCACTGAATATTTAGTTGTTTGCAAGCAATGGTTGAATACATCTCTACTGAAGCCAGCTACTAGAGTTGTTTAAAGTGCTCGGCTTGTTCACAGCATTAAACAGAAACAGCAGGTAATTAAGCTTGCTTAATACTTTCTGATTTTGCACACAGTCAATATTTAACCAGAACCCATCCATTTATACTATCGATACACTGATACTAAGAGGCTTAAATGCCCAGCATTTTGTCTCAATTGCTTTATAGAACATAAGAAAGAGTAAATGTAATTCCTCTTCAAATCTTACTACATTTCCACCAAGCAAGAGACTGTACATTAAATTTAAGCAATACCATATTACAATCATGTTTTGAGAGTAATTGTTGTAGATAATTATGTGTTATGGGTTAGGTGTATCTGTTTTTATGAGTGGTACAAGCAGCCTCATATTTCCCAGTGGAATATCACCATAGCAATATTTATTGTGGATTTTATTCTGCTCTTTCATTTATGTGCATATTACTGGGTAGTTTATTGAAAATCTGCTAAACAACCATTTGTGCTCAGATTTATACTAGGCGTAGAGGGGATTCCAGAGGAAATGAAGATAAAATACTCACATGAAATAACTACCAAGAAATGTAAATTATGTAAGAATAATATATGCCTAAAAGCTTAGATGAAGTTGAGAAGAGAAAATGTGAAGAGGAAATCCACATCATTTTCATGTGAATATAAATAAATGGGCAGTTTTCTAATGTGTGACAATGCACATTGTCACAGTGGGATGGTGATATGATTGTTGGAAAGATACCTACCACAGCCAAGGCTATACGAGCTTCTTCAATATGGAATAGGAATACAACTTACTACCCAAAAAGACAGCTACACAGTACAGGAGTCACACAGGCAGCAATCCTAGTCAGGAGGAAAACTTCCTTGGCCTTCAGGTTCCCATGAAGCATCCACTGCTGATGTTTCTCCCTAATTAGGGTCACGATCCTGACTTTGATAAGCTCCCTTTTCTATTTTTGGTCTCTCTCAACTGTTTTGACAGTCTGACTATATGTCTGCCTGGTCAGCAGGTGCAAATAACTAGTAACAACCTCCACACATTTTTGAATGGGTATTCTTAGAATGTGTCAATCATTCTATGTACCACCTCCTCTGTGGGCCTAGACTGTGGGCTTACCTAAGGTTTGTTCCTCTAGTCAAGGGTTTCTCCACCAGGGCACCCCTGGCATTTGGGGCCAGAAAAGTTGTCGTGAGGCACTGTCCTGTGCATTTTAGGATACTTTACAGCATCCCTGGCCAGTAGCACCTCCACCTCAATTGTGACAATCAAAAGTGTCTTCAGACATTACCCAATGTCCTGTGGGGGCAAAATCACCCTTGTTGAGAACCACTGCTCTAGTCATAAAGCTCTAAAATCCAATGAATATAGCCCAGCCCAGCCTGTGTGGTTCAGTGGTTGAGTGTCGACCTATGAACCAGGAGGTCACTGTTTAATTCCCAGTCAGGGCACATGCCGGGTTGCGGGCTCAATGCCCAGTAGGGGGCATGCAGGAGGCAGCCAATCAGTGATTCGCATCATTGATGCTTCTATCTCTCCCTTCCTCTCTGAAATCAATAGAATTATATTTTTAAAATAAATAAAAATAAAATGCAATAAATATATACATGTTTGAATATTACCAACTTTACGTGTCGGTAGGCCCTGAGATTCAAGGGAGGTGCTTGATGCTTTGCTTTCCTTCTTCCAGCATTAAAATCACCACTGGACAAAATTACTTACTTTCCCCCTTTGACACTTCCCTTTGTGACTCTTAAAAGCATTCTTGTGACACTCTTCATTGTCTAATTCCACGTCCACACGTAGCATAACTGGCCTCACTACATTCTGAGTCCGATTTTGGAAAGTGCAGTGGGAAAAAACAGATATTACTTTGCATACTAGAGATCCTCTTGGCCTTGTCTATTTTGACAAAAAAAAAAAAAAGGATATCTCAGCTGCTCTGAGAAAGCTTTGGAGACTCATGCAAACTCAGCTAGTTGTTCCTCAGGGATAAAATTCAGACTAATGGACCTTTCTTTCCTTTTTAATTGTTGTTTTTAATACAGTCATATCTGTGTTTTATTCTTTATCAGGATTTTTGTTCTTACCCATTACCTTGTGCTTATTGGTGTTCTGAAAATGATATAATGCCATGTCAAAACAGAATGAAATAAAAGATACAAAATGTGGCCAGCCACTGCTTTGCAAACCAAAGGGTTTGCCTCATCAATCATGTTACCTGTCAGGTATCAAACCTGAGTACTGATCAGATGAAAGCCTTCATTTACCTGCCACATGATTTGGACTTGTAAAACCCAGAGATGAAGCCTAGGGTGATTAAATGCAAACATCAACATTATAGTAATCCTTTCTAGCTTTTGCAGTAAATTGCCCCACTGTTAATATAGAGAAAAAATTTTAATTGCTCAGAATGTTATATATGAAGCTTAGGGATTAAATTACCCCTTGTGGACTTGCATCTCCACTGCTGGCTGGTATTATGCACGGAGCAGTATTCATTCAACAGATAGTTATTGAGTGCCTATGTGGCAGGCACTGCTCTAGGACTTATCCTAAGGCAGTTTAGTGTGTGGTTGAGAGCCAGAGAGAGTGCTAATTGTGGCTCTGCCAATTACTAGCTCCTTTTTTCTTTGCTTTGCCTTTTTTTTTAACTTTTTGGAAATTTACTTAATCTTTCTGTGGCTTAGTTTCTTCATCTATAAAATGAGAATAGTAGTAGCCACCTTATATGGTTCTTGTGAGTTTTTGAGTTGAAAAAGATGCAAGCAAGCACACTATTAAAACAGTACCTGGACCATTATCAGTGCTCATTAACCTCAACTGCTATGATTATCACCAATATGAGAAGGATAAAGGGTCTTATATTGCTCCATCTCAATGTCTGAAATTTCCACCGTTCATTATTACTTTGGCTTAAGGAAATACATGTCATCCAGCAGACTAACATATCAACAATTATTGATATAGAACATAAACTGATCATTAGGATTATTTCCTCAAAAGAAGGCTTCTAGGGTATGGGACTGAGGGTAACGTTTTTATGAGTGAGATATTTAATAGTGGAGAGGAGGAAGTACATTAGAGTTCATTGCCACAGTGGGCCTTATGGTCATCCCAAGGTCAAGCAATACGAGTCATGCATTTCTGGCTAAAGATGATTGAAGAGTACCTGGACATGCCCTGAAAAGAAGACTCTCAGGTTTGCCCAAGGCCAGCCTGGCCTTATGTTTTATCTCTCTGGTGTTACAGTCCAAACATGGAGAACAGTGTCTATAAGAGAAAATATGCTTAGCAGTTAACTAGCATACACAGACAGCCTGTGTTCAAAACCTGAATCTACCACTTAATAATAGTGTAACCTTGGGCAAATTTCTTAATTGACCTTTGACATCTGTAAAATAAACATGATAGAATTGTATAGGGCTATTGAGGGGATTAAATTAGATAATACCTAAAAACACTATCTGACAGCAAAAACTCAATAAATATTAGCCTCTATTATTATTATTGTACTTTGCTATTATTAGAGCTGCTTTGTTTTAATTTTTTAGTTTCTTCCTTTCCAGAGTCTTCACTTGATTTTGCTTGTCCTCTGTGTGCCTTTGGCTGAATTTAAAGTTCAAGTTCTAAATCTTTTTAGCCTTATTTGTTATGGTCTCAGTATTCTACCAGTGTTTTCACTTGTACCATGACATTCCCAATATAAAATTAGTGTGTTGATGAAGTAGCAGGTACGAATGGAAAGTCATTGTCTTGATTCTGTGTCTAGTTCTATGTCTATTGGTACGGGGCCAATAAAACTTCATTAACTGAGATAACTACAACTGGAGATTTAAGAAAATTTTACGTGAGTTGAGTTCTCTGTTCACAATGTATATTGGAAGAATTTTCTAAGCAAAATGATAGCATTCTCTCTTATTTCTTCACTATTCTTAGAAGAGTTTCTGCAACCTATTTATGCTATAATAAATGTATTTATTAATTGCTTAAAATGTTATACTTCCATGAAGATAGTTATAGTTTAACTTAATCACCAAGCATTAAGCTCAAGGAATGATGCTCAGGTTGTGGAATTTCAGCTGACATCCATCCAGTGGGCATAATAGGTATTCTTTGGACAGGAATCTTTTAAGTAGCCTTAAATGCATCAGGTAGATGCATCTTCCCCAAAGACAAGTCCATCTTATTTCAGTCCTAGAATGCTACTATCTACACAGCACACTTAAAACTATTTGGAATCGAAATGGTAGATACGTTTCTCTCACTTGCCAGTGCTAATTGATTGTCAGTAATTACATGAATTTCTATTGAAAATAATCCGGAGGCCAAGTTCAAATTAGCAGAAAAGAGTATGTGATTGATTAACACTGAATGAAGGAAAGGGAGCAGCAGCATATTTGTAAAGTATTTATAACCCTAATCCTAACCTTAAAGTCTTCAAGGGCACAAACTATGTCTTCCTCATTTTATACCACCAGTGCCCAAGTACTATGTGGTTCTTAATGAATGTTTATTAAAATTAACTGATTCATATTCTTAAAGTACTTTGCATTATATATTTTTTTCTCCCAGAGACCTTAATTGTAATCTTTTATGTTAAAAAACACAGATGCAAGCACAGAATGAAGAATGACTTATGCTATATGCTATATCATCACTTGAGAGCAAATGGACTGAAAACTTGTGACTAGAATCCACTAGTTCTCATTCTCTCAGTTCTAGTCCTAGTCTAGTTCTGATCTCTTTGGCTAAGGGCTTTTAGATTGTTCTGATGGGGATCTTACATATACTAACTATTTTTTAAAAATTATTTCCCAAGGTCTGTCGAGTCGCTTATGAAATCATGCAAACACTGCATCCTGATGCCTCTGCAAACTTCCATTCTTTGGATGACATCTACTATTTTGGGGGCCAAAATGCCCACAACCAGATTGCCATTTATCCTCACCAGCCTCGAACTGCAGATGAAATTCCCATGGAACCTGGAGATATCATTGGTGTGGCTGGAAATCATTGGGATGGCTATTCTAAAGGTGTCAACAGGAAACTGGGAAGGACGGGCTTGTATCCCTCCTACAAAGTCCGAGAGAAGATAGAGACAGTCAAGTACCCCACATATCCTGAAGCCGAGAAATAAAGCTTAAGATGGAGGAGAAGGAAAACTAAACTCAGTTCAAACTATTTGAGCCAAACAGTAGATGAAGAAGGCCCTGTCCTAACAACACATGGTTGAATGAGTAGACACCCTCAGCATCAGGAGTAGCTGAGAACTGACAGATGTTTTGTTGGTGAAATTTCTCTTTCACAAGGGCTACAATGCCCAAAACCCCTGCACAGTCGAATAATGTACTCACATATAACATGCAAGCAGGTGGTTTTCGACTTTGCCTCTTCTTTCAAGATTATGTCTCCATGAGAAAAACACTGCCACATTGTAATTTAAGTGACACAGACATTTGTGTGAGACTTCAAACATGGTGCCTATCTCTGAGAGACCTGATGAGAAGACTTGAATAGCTCCCCGCTGTGGGGAGGTGGATTCTTAGCCAGTGGTGGTAATGCAACCACTGAATTCACTCCAGTCAGCAGATTCAGAATGAGAATGGATGTTCTTGTCTGGAATTTTTTTTAAGTAATTACATCAGTTCATCCACCTCATCTTTAATAAGTGAAGGAGATACATTGAAATAAAATATTCTCATTCCATTAGGAACTTTTGTAAAATGATGCCATGAACAGATTCTTTAGTACTCAATGTTTCTGGCCATTCTCTTTGATAACAAAAAATAAATTTTAAAAAGAAATTTTGTGAAGTTTCTAGAATTTTACATCATTGGATGATGTGGTGGTCAGCTTTATAGTGGAAAATCTACGATAAAAGAGGAGTTTTATAGTTCTGCTGGGCTTTTTTTGTTGTTTTTTGGGGGGTCTTTTGTTTTCTGTTGTTGATTGCGTGACTAATCTGGTCTTAGTTCAAAGAGTCATCGAGCCATTTTCACACTGAAAACAGTGTAATTGGTGCACATTACAAGGCTGCTAAGAACACTCCTTGGGAGCTTCCATTCTTTTAGTTTGGGCATTGTTTTTGTTTAATTCAGTGGTTCTCAACCTTCTGGCCCTTTAAATACAGTTCCTCATGTTGTGACCCAACCATAAAATTATTTTCGTTGCTACTTCATAACTGTAATGTTGCTACTGTTATGAATCGTAATGTAAATATCTGATATGCAGGATGGTCTTAGGTGACCCCTGTGAAAGGGTCGTTCGACCGCCAAAGGGGTCGCGACCCACAGGTTGAGAACCGCTGGTTTAATTAAATTATCATACTGCTTGCCCTTAGAGGAACTGTCACCTCCATTTCCAAAACTAATAACTTCAGATTTGTTGGTAATCTTTCTTACTGTAGCTCTTGTCACTTTTGTGTGTTGTGTCCTTTCTCTCCCCCCACCACACCCAAAAACCAATTTGTGCCCTTTTCTATCATATCCTGCTTTTGAGAGTACCAGGAATCTTTGGGGTTGGCAAGCTGGCTCTGTTTCTGAAATCTAGTCTCACAAGATGTAGAATTCAGTTAACAAAGGAGAGAAGAACCAGTGTGAAACCCAAAAATGGATTTAGGATTATCTCTTCCAAATACTTCTGTTTAGTAATTCCATTTTAGAATCACTTCAGAAGACAGGGCTCTGATGCTCTCTAAGTGTTCTGTATGAACATCACTTTTCTCCTTATAAAAACACTTTCTATGTTCTGTAGGTTGCCTCCTTTACATGTCTGGCAGAGTATTTCATAGCATGTGCTCTACCTTCTGGGAAAGAAAATAAAATAAAAGATCCCTATAAGAACTAGTAGCAGGCCTGGTGTTTAATATTAGGGATCCCAGACTGAAAAGCTCTGTCCTTCACATCCTCACCAAGTGAAAATACCTCTACACAAAATCTCTCCACCCGACTTCCCTAAATTCTCTTTCCGGTCAAGTCTCCCAACGAGCAACACTACCTATCGTGTCAGTAAGCAGTTTGCGATTTAGTTTTGGCACAAATAAAAGTCATTTGAAACAAACATCTCCAACTAAGAAGTACTTTTGAATATGAGTTATTTTCTAATTAGCATCTTACTTGTCATCAGAACATCAGTACAGTGGGTTACTGATAATAACTGCTTCATATTTCTCTGTATTATGATTATGTTGTGCATTCTGTTGTATTTCTCTGAAGAGTACTGATGTTTGTTAGCAGGCATTTAATTTCATTGGACTCAAACTGTAAACTGTCTTGGGCAGCAGCTCAAATCTTAATTCAGTTTTTTTATCTTTAAGCTGGAGTCTTTCCCACACACGTATGGTTCAGGGATCAGCCAGAGATGTGGGCAGACTTTATGCACAGAATTTGGGGTTCTCTTTCTTTGGCTTTCTTTCTTCTGAGGGTTCTCCCCTCACTTTTAGGAGCTGTGGTTGCTCTGATTCTTCAAACAGCCTATCAGCCTAAAAGCCATAAAAATGGGAACTCATCTTGTGCCATTTCCTTCTTCAAAGTTTTAACCTCTCCAGAGTTCACCTGCTTTTTTGTTTAGTCACCAATGCCTTCAGGCAGTTTTTTTTATTATTATTTTGTCAAGAGTCTATAGTTGTTATCATTGGGAGATCTGTTCACTTCCTGTGAGACACTTAAACTCTACCATACAGGAAAGTGAAACTCAGAGGCAAAGACTTAAAATGAAAAAGCGTAGTGGGGGCAGAGGAGCTTAGACCTATGACAGCCTTCGTTTAGACTCTGGCCTTAATAGCTAAGGAGCCAGTAGCTTCAAGCAGGAAGGAAAAGGAAGAAACAACTAAATTGTTAAATTTGCAGGTGTGGACAGGATAATGAGTACTACTGACCACATCATACTGACAAGCTCTTCTGAGTCACTTTTTTGCAAATCATCATGTACGTGATGATGATTCCTCCTTTACTTACTGCCATGTTGGAAGGGCTGACAGTTGCTCATCACCCTTGTACTTTCCTCATGAAAACCTGGTATTTAAAGACTGCATGGTTTTGAATTGAGTGACCAGTGCTGCATTAGGAAGGTTTGGATCTTTTCCTGGTTACAACAGCCTTACATTAAACCAAATATTAGCCTGGACTCATTGAATGGAGGTACCAGAATTCTGTGTATTAATGACAAAGCCATTACAAGAGTGTCTTCCCGAGGGTTTCCCGGTCTTACCACTCAAGTCTGGTTTAGTACTGAGCTGGAAAGTTCATGCCTGTTGTGAAAGGGCTCTTAGCCCTAATTCTACATTCATGTCCCCAAATGTGAGAGACTGGTTGCTTCCCTCTCTGAGCTTTAGTTTTTTTCTATTATATAGAGCCTAGCCTGTTTCCTGAGTTCCTGCTTAATATCATTGAGGACACCAACAGACTCAGCCTCTGAGGGGGTTGGGGGTTAAAAAGAGAAAAAGCACCTGTAAAAATCTTTATTAAAGAGTATTATCATCATTTAGTTCTGAGAATATAATCACTTTATATTCAATAGGCGGGAAAAGTATTGGATCTAAATGGTGCATCTAGAAGAATCTCCTTGGCCTCAATGAGAATAAATTTCCTTATTCAAGGGGTAAGAGACAAGTCCTCTTTGACCATAGCCAGCAGCCTGATACTTCATTTGTGCTCCCGGGAGGCCACACAATAGCCAGGATCGATAAACCCAAACAGAATAGATGTTTGGCTTGGGTTTTGATGAATCTTGGAACTTGCTGTAACACCTTAATTTATGCCAGAATACAGGCTCTGGGGAATTTTTTAAATGCATTGCCCAGAGGGAAGCACAAAGGAGAATTTGGCTCCATACTTACTGGTTCCTGGCAGCAGCCGTCCTCAGGAGAACATGGAGGGGTTGCTCCAGGATCCGTGGCAGGGCAAAGGCAGACCTGGACAGGTTCTTTGGCCTCAGCTGTCATTGACATTGTGCATGTTTGAGCACTTGCCCTTTGACAGTGTATTTATTTTAGGTTCTTTATACAAGACAGAATCTCTGACTCAGTACCTGTTCAACTATTCAGCCTTGCTCTCTCCAGTTCAGTTGCTACTTGCTTTCTGCTCTCATCCTTAAATAAGACAATCTTGATTTTGTATCCCCACTACCTTTATAGAGTATGATCTCATGTGAATGGTTCCCTGTGACTATTCCATTCCTCATGCAGCTGCCAATCCTAGGTACTTGCACAGACTATATAGTTTGGCTATTGGCATCTCCTAGATATAAAAGAAACCAACTATCTCCTTGGGCAGTTTTAGGTAAGATATTCCTGGAAGCTATGATAGTGAAGCTATGATACTGTGTGTTCTTGGCTGTTTAAACTGAAGATTTCAAAGATTTTTACAAATCAATGTCACTACACTCAAGGGGAGCATAGCTAGGGCATCCTTTGTGTGAAACTATGTCAATCTGAACAGAGTCCGCACTTTTTAAAAGCAATGTATTGAAGGCTATGGCCACAGCCATTTGACATTTGGGAAGAAAGCCAGGAAGAGAGTTCACTCCTACTGACCTCCTGTCATCTGTAACTGTTCTCTGTAACCTCTCCCCTGAGTCAATGTCCCATGGAGTCTATTGTTCCCTAACTGCCTGTGTGGGTAGGGAAAAGGCCATTAACAAAGGAGAAAGCCTCATGTTTGCTCATAACCCAGCTGGGTCTGAGGGCATCTGTGGAGGCTGGGAATGTGCAGTGCTTTGTAGGGAGAGCACGGATAGTTTAGACTGTGGGTGTGCTCAGCAGCCTGAGGAATGCTGGGATTTTGAGTTTCTGGCT